TCTGCAATCTTAGCTTAGTGAGTATCAGCATCAAAATATATACAAGTACTCACTATGCAGACTGGCCCATTTCAGAAAATATATATATATATTTTATTACTGGATTATAGTCAGTGAGGCATCATTGTCATTGTTCATTCATGTTCATTCATTGTTATCACTTTGAACATGAATAAATGATTCAATGATATGACGTCATAGCTCAGAGTCAGAAAAAAACAAAAAGGCACGAATGGCAACAGATAAAAAGTGATAAATACTGCAAAGTATCTCAAACTATCAAATAAATGTATTGGAGTAAAATGTACAATATTTTCCTTCTAAATATCATAAAGTGGAAATATTAAGTACCTAAAATTGTGCACAAGTGCAGTGCTAAAAATACAAAATTACTAAATAAATGTACCCAGTTACATTCCCGCCACCACTGCACACAGGTATGCTTATGGATGGCTGTGCATAAATCTTTCAATAGAATCCATCATCCACAAACAAACTCTCGTGCGATCGATTCCTCTCACGCTTTTGAAAGGTCTCGTCAATTCTGAGTCAATAATCTCAGTGACTTTAGACTTCCATCTTCTCAGCAAGAGGGTAGTTAGCCTCTACCTTCTGCTACTGTCCGTGTGATTGGTATCGATATTCAACGGGCTGTGAGAAAAAAAATGGCTGCACATTTTCACATTCCTGAGGGACTTTTGTTATGAGACCAATGCCGTATCGGTGTCAGTTGCGCTGAATCTGCCAACCGATATGACTGGCTCTCTGCCGTTCTCCTTCACAACAGTCAGACCAGCTGTCCTGTGGGGAGGGTAACAGGCCCAGCAATATTACCATCTTACCAGTTTTCACACAGAAACCATTGGTCACTTGATGGGTGCTTTCAAGATATCCGATTTTCCATATTTAGCAATTGTTTGACCCTGAAATCCATGTCAATTTTACAGTATTTTATAACTGTTTTTGGCTCAAGCGAGTTTCCTCGTGCACAATTGTACCTTTGAATGCAAACTGATGTCCTTTAAAGAGCAAAATACCAAATAAATGCTCAGTCCTCGGAACAGTGTTAGCACACGATGCTAACGGATTCTTCGCAAATGATGTCACAAACCAGTTCACTGTCCAGACCTCCGAAGCAACTGGCAGCTTTGGAAGCAACGACTACTGACACTGCAGCAATGACACTGCAGCAATGTGTGTGGTTGGGTCGTGGACCCAACCACACACAAAAAAAGGCCTTGTCGTGACCAGTATTTGGAGTTACTTCGTAACGCGTTTACCCCAACAACTCTTTAGAGTACTTGGATGACTTTTTGGGTGAAATTAGTAACATGAGGTGCTAGTTTGCAAATTCAAATATTGGGAAATTAAGGAGGTTGTAGCTCCGGTCACGTGGTGGAGAAGATGCTACCAACATCAACCGTAGAGTCTCCATCTCTCCGCAAAAGAGTTTGGCAAATTGAAACGTAAAGCAAGCTTAGCAACATGCGCTGCGGGCTGGTGCATGAGGTTGGTTGTTTGATGACATTTCACGTCTCATTTAACACTTGTAATTTCAACCACATTCTCATGTAAGGATTTCCAAAGCCTCTGAACCTCCAACCATTTTGCGTTTGGCTTTCATGGATACATTATTTTCTCAACACACTGTTCAATGCGTCCGCATAAACACCTGAATAATTCTTCATTATCTTTAGCAATGTTTCAGCTTCAGGGGGGGGGTCACTATGAGTCCTCCACCATGACATTTTTTTGGGTCAAATACTTCATTTCCTGCTTTTTCTTTTCTGGAATTTGTGGAGGAAATGCATTTATTTTGTTGTTATTTTTCTGTTATTGTGACCATGGACCATGGGAATCCTGACTAAAGTAATTAATATCAACTCTTACCTGTTCATCTGCCTCTGCCTCGCTCTCTTCCTCAGTTACTGGTACTCCCTGCATGGTTAATAAGAGTTCATAGGCTATGTGTAAAAGCCAGTGATGCAATTCAAATTCAAATGCCACGCTCTCAATTCTTTGGGACAGCTGCTGAATGGCTAATGCCAAATTAGCTTGCCTGCTCTTAGCGTAGCTAGCTAGCATGAAATTACTTTAAGATTAGTTAGCAAACTATCAAACTACACTTCAAAAAGAAAACTTGAAAAACAAATACCAAGTACCTCAACAGCTCACAAATCGCAACTTGGTTTTGTGACTTTTTGAAGAAAACAATGTCCAAATATCGAACCTCTTCCTTGCGTTTCCTCCTCCAGGTTTTTCCTCTGTTTGTCAGAATAAATGTCCTTTGCTCCTTTCATTGTTTTATTAGGCTACTGCATTAATGTAGCATGTTGGCTAAATGTCCGATGCACCTGGTGGAACCAAATATCTAACTGGGGTTTGTTGGAAACATTTAAAGCAGTGATTTTCAACCGCTGTGCCGCGGCACACCAGTGTGCCGTGAGAGATCGTCAGGTGTGCCGTGGGAAAATGTCCAATTTCACTTAATCAATCAAATTAATATTATTTATTTGTTGCAAATACTTTGCCATTGTTGAGCATCTGAGCTGCAATATAGTGTCTGGCTAAGTAATAAATACTCTTCCATGCCAGTGGGTGGCAGTAAGTAGCACAGTAATGACCGTGTTCATTTAAAACAGTAGAATGAAATGAAGCGCGGGAGAGGTTGCGGTGACAAGACGAACAGCGATGGAGAAACATTTGAAAAGTAAAAATGCAGTCTCTGAACTGGGCCCTGGACAAAATAACCCAGATGAAAAGCCTAAGGATCAACACATTTAGAGACTTGTCATTAAATTGTCAGCATATATCAGACATGTCAAACTCAAATATCCCGAACCTCGGTACAATTATATCCAGCCCGCGAGAATCATATGTCTAACTAGCCCGCCACACCACAGAGCTCCGGGAAGAAAAGTGGCGATGTGAGCTGGCCTTTTTGTGGGACATAAGGAAGCATCTCACTGCGCTAAACCTCCACTCAGATGCAGAAAGGAAACTTGGGTCACTGTCCGTGTTGACAAACCGTGTCTCCACCGCTGTGTTCCCGACAGCGCATTTTGCTGATAAACTGGGCGCACTTGGCACAGAGTTCACTCTGCGATTTGCCGACTTTGCAGCTCAGAAATTTAAATTAGAACTGCTCAGCCATCCGTTTGCAGTTGACGTAGAAAGAGCACACTGTGCACATCCAAATGGAGCTGATAGACCTCCAGTGTGATGACACTCTCAAGGCAAAGTATGACTCTGTGGGCGCTGCACAGTTTCCAAGCTTCATCCCCAAAACAATGCCTTAACTCCGCCTACATGCTGCTCAAATGCTCTCCATGTTTGGAAGCACATACATGTACCTGTGTGAGCAGCTTTTCTCTGTGATGAAGATGAACACAAACCCACAGAGGAGTTGTCTCACTGATGCACACCTTCACTCCATCTTGAGGGTTTCCACAGAACCTAACCCATAAGATATTAATGAACTGGCAGCCAAGAAAAGATGCCAAACATCTGGCTCTGGTATGTATGCATAAAATAATGTAGCCTATTTGTCCAATATCCCTTCTATCCTGTTTATTAAATGTTGACCTTATTTGGCCCTCAACGTAGTCTCTCTCTGGGATTGAGTTTGACACCCCTGCATATCTGCTGTATTATGCTAAAAGGTGTCATTTTGCAACTTTTTTGGTTGTTGGTGTGCCGCGGGATCTTTTTAATGTAAACAATGTGCCGCGGCTCAGAAAAGGTTGAAAAACACTGATTTAAAGGACCGAGCTTTCTCCATATGTTGTTGAAGGATTACATTGTAGCGGTTTGGCTTGAAATTGGCTGCAAGTCAATTTTATGATGTGCTTTGTTCACAAATGTTTCAGAAAACTGCCTGTAATCTTCATATGTTGCACTTTTGTGCGGCTGTGCATCTAACAGGAGAGTGAGAGAACTCCAGGGATACTACGCACATTGAGAGGGTATATGGACAGTTTAGACGATTTATTATCAAAGCTGAGCATAACATAATTCCAGTGGAGAATACCTGGGAAGGTGAAAACCTGCACCTTTGATATGTGCTGTGCCCCACCGATGATCTCTTCTTAAAGAGATTTCTGAATGAGATTGAATCAGCCGAGGATCGGGATTTGAAGCATGAGGATTATGAAGACTGGAGGCGTTGTTGCACCAGTATTTACACTCCTCTTTTTCAATTTTGCCAACAAAGTTATTGACTCGAGGTTACAGTGTGAGGCTGTCTGGACTTCACAATTAAGGTTCATCCAGAGAAGAAAATTGAATAAAACTGTCTTGCTTGTGATGCTGACCTTTGTTTGGCCTATAATAAATGTGTGCGACGCGTGTAACCAGGGGTTACTCTAATTCTATGCTACTGTGGTGCTTGCTGAAAAAAAGTGTGCTTTTGTCTAAATGTTTTATTATATTTTCTTATTGCTTTGTTGTGTTGCCACGTACAGCGCGGCTTAAGGAATGAAAGGAGCCGTGAACACGGTCTTTTTATACATATATATATATATATATATATATATAGTGAGACTGACCAAGAACACAAAGAATCAGCCCTGTAACAGCTGCAGTCAGAGCTACATTTTTTTCTTTCACCGTCTTAATGAGAAGAAATGTAGTTAGTTCACTTTAATCACATACTTCGAGGTAATGGAAAATCTTTGCTTCTTTTCAATTATGTGCGGGTATGATGACCTCAGATCATCCTCTCCTTCTGTATTTTGCTGACTCAGAGCTAAATTAACTCATATTCTCCACCACTCTCACTGGGACACTGCTGCTCCAGCATCTGGAAACACACACACACACACACACACACACACACACACACACACACACACACACACACACACACACATTTGGCATGTCTGCAGGCTAGCTATGGTCCAACCTGCTGCACTTCTCAATGCAAATGTTGGGACAATTAGCAGACTTTGTTTTGAAAAATCATGATACGAACCAATGTCATAAACGCATAAACCAGAACACACGTTAAACCTCTTTTATTGCTATCATCCATATTCATACACCTAATAAACATGCACAGTGTTAGTATTTATTTACAACAGGTTTAGCGAAACCGATGCCTATACTAGCATGGTATGTAAATACATTTCACATGAACATGTCCCAGGATCTGTGAGGTTGGTAGCCAACGTCACCTTGAGGCATTATTAGACACGTACCACAACGGGAAAGAAAGGGCGGTCCAACGGTAGCCATTTTTCTGTTGCCCAAAAGTTGCTCCACATTATGTTCTGGCAACGTTGCCCATAATGTTTTGTTTTCTGCAACACATTATCACATCCAAACCAGCACTAGCAATGTAGTTGCGACTGGGGGAGCCATAAGACAATTGATGCTCTTGAGCTTTGTGTGTGTGTGGATCAACTTCAATCGTCGAGTGGAAAAAGACGTTCTACGTGGGTGCTCTTGTGGCTCTCTGGCTCCGTATCGGCATTCGTTTCTCCTACCGTTCACTTGGTAGACGATCAAAATTACAACCGTGGCGCTATTTTTGTGTAAATCCTGACCTGAGTCTGTGTTTTAACACATACACTTTTCTAAGGGTCAGTGCTCCGCGCTGCCACCGAGGGGTACGCAGCTCAAAAGGCAAATGAACACCATCGCCCATCACATGTCCTTTTCGATAAGATTCGAATAACTGGAAATGACAACACAAGTTTGACAATCCTGCAGTTCTGGAGATCCCAAATCAAAGTTGCATCCTTAGCAATTACAGATTGAATCCTTTCAATAGCCTCGGCTGTGCATTTCATGATTTTACTCTCCTCCGTCATATTAAACTGAAACAAAATCAAGCAAAGCAGAGTAAACAAAAGTTGCACTTGATAACCATGCGGGAAGAACAGAAACCAAAGTAAATCCTACTTTTCTATTATCGTCAGGCAAGGAGAGCAATCAAAACGTTTGTAAGTTGATGACATATTAAAAAAAAGGTAGATTAAAACATGAGAAACGATGCAGATACAATTTGAACATAATCAGTTCAAAAGGCGATAAATAGATATTGCCAATTTAGCTTATTGTTCAATACACATCGAATGGTAGTTCTTGAAATTGAAATGGAGTGAGTGAGTGTATGTATGTCACAGTAATATAGAATACAGCAATAAATAAACATGCATCTCTGTTGTTGAAACTGAATCCTGGTTTCTGTGTCACGCTCGTCTGCCGGTTGACTGCATGCTATTTCAGAATGATCCCATCGATAACAAACGTGATATTAACATTTAAAAAAAATGCATTTCAAATCTGATCTAAAGGGAAACAAAGAGGAAATCAAAGTGGAATCTTTGGCTCTTTGGTTCACGTCACAGGTAGCGAACACACTGTTTGTCCTGAACTGAAATACTCACACAGCAAAAGATTTGACATTGGCCTGAAAAGCTGAGGAGACAAGTGACACCTCAAGCACATCCAGCGCTTTTTTCCCCTCTGATTTGGATAATGCACAGATGACGACATCCTGTTGAAATATGTTGGTAATTTCATTCATATTCAAATCACTCTACAATGTCTAACACATCTTGGTCTGACTACTGCTTGATGTTTTACAAAAGCACAGGGAGAAACACGACCAGCAGCCCATGAATAGCGCTGTATATATCACTAATATGTGGTACCTGTTAACCTATCAATGTGGCATTACACCTGCCCAATATCGACACACAAAGTGTTCAATATTGAATAAATAAATACAACAAAATGCAAAACACAATAGTGAATAAATAAAGTGAAACGTATAGCCTGAAATAGACCAATAAATTGTGAAATAATTTAATTATAGAAATTAATTACAGTATTAAAGGAGTTCTTTTTTAGGTAATTATAGAACATTTTATTTCAAAATGTCATTTTTTAATAGCGTTCACCTTGCCCCAAAACTCACTTCACAGACCAGAACTGTGCTGCTAGCTTGCTAGCTAGCAGCACAGTTCAACCCTCAGTTCAATGTCAAGTAAATGATTCATGCTTACCAACTATCCGAGCTAGCTAGCTAGCTAACTGGCTAGCATAGTGGCCTTGTAGCCAAACAAAAGTAGAGGTTAGTTTCTGTGTCTTTGAACAGTTTTTTTTTGCAGCAGCTAGTTGGTTGATTTAAAATGACTTCAGTACAGTCGTTGCTCACGACTACCAGGAGCTAGCTGGTCCAATTTTGGGAATGTTAGCTTTAATTGTGCCCTGATACGAGAAGCTCAGCATTATGAAATTCTGAAATAAAAAGTGTGATTGGGAGAAATGCCCCTATGAGAGGTTTGGAAAGTGACATCCTGAAATAAAATAGAATGAAATAATGAAAACAAAAATATTAAAAACATAAAATGTTACAATAACTCTTTAATAATTGGAAAAATGATTTCACAACTTCTGATCGATATATTTCACTCTATTTAATCACATGATTGTTAATCTCATAATGTCATATTTATGCCACGTATTCTCATGTTGTGGCTTTGTTTCTGTCCTTGTGAAACTGCGGAGCACATTTGTGGGATGACAAGTGCCACAATACTGTTCAGGGTGGCCAGATTTCCAGAACACAACTGAAGGGATCAAAGGCCACTACATTTATAGTGTCTATGAAAAAAGAAATGCAAGCAAAGAGACACAGCACTGCTCAGTGAATTAAAAATAACTTGTGGAAGGACACAGAAGAAAGAGAGATTTCAGCAGCAGAACGTCCCTGGGAGACTGATTTATAGTTTTTTAACACACTCTTCATGTAGAGTTTTTTTTCCAGCTCCCTCGCCTCTTTCTTTCATCCTTCTTCCCCCATCCATTACTTTTGCTTTTTCCAACTAAATATTGTACCTGCAGGCAGAAATGGAAGATGAAGTCGTAAAGTGTCGATAATCATTCCATCACAACAGAGAATCAAAGTGGGATTCGCTCTCCCTCCGTCATGACGCCTTAAATTACAGCTCCATCTTCTGCGTGTCCGACAGTAACGACCTGCACGAGGAACGAAAAACACTACGCCGAAAAAGATGCAGACTGGGCGATCTGTTTCTTTAAGTGACGTTCATTTAATCTCAAGGTGTATCAGCGTCGATCGAATTTCGCCCAGTCTGTGTCGGACGGGCCTATTATTTACCGGCTGTATAAAACTTTTGACTACAGTTTGACTGTGAGTTTGACTACACAATGTTTTAAGATGGAGCTGTAATCGTAGGCGTCTCTCTTTACCCCCCTCAGAAACAGCCCTTTATGTAAGTATGCTACTTCGCTCATGAATCCAAATGCTGAAATTGTACACACTCATCTCAAAACACACCGAAATAACGCTTACTGTACAGTAGAATACACTTCTCGTCTACACACCACTCTCCGGGACATGTGCTGCACTCGAGCGAATGCTAGAAGTACAGATAATAAGTCCAGTAGAGCAGGTTGACCATGACGAACGAGAGAGGGAAGGTGACTCTGGAGTAGTTGTCTATGTGGTGGGGGTTCTCTATGCGACAGCAATATAGTTTGCGGAGCACTTTGCGGACAGTGGCCAGGGCGGTGAGGCACCAGTGGGTGCGCTTCGGGGGCGACGCCTCGGGCTTAGGCTCGCTGCCCGAGGGGCTGGACGGGCTCACAATGAGTTCTAGGGAAGTGGCCGGCGGGGTCGCGGCCGCGACGGCGGCGGCGGCGGCGGCGTCCTTGCGTCTCTTGGCCCTGTTGTGATTGGTGATGGTGGTGATGATGCCGTTCATTTCGTCGTCCAGGTCGTGCATGTGGTGGCCGTACTGCAAGAGAAACGGGAGCCGACGAAAGGGTGAGTTTCGAACAGAAACAAGAACGCGACACATCCAAAGTTTGAGAGAGCTCGTGCCACTTGTTTTACTCACCCCAAAGAGCACCGCGATGACATGACGATGACAATGAGCACCATTTGTGAGGACAATGACCGTGACCACAACACTTAACAATAACACAGCACATCCAGGAGGGTCTCACCATGATCAAGTGCGTGTCGAGGTGAGTGAGGCTGCAGAAGTGGGCCACGGCGTACTCAATGAGCGCTCCGAAGATGAAGCTGAAGCAGATGCCCAGGTAAACGTCAATGGCCTTGATGAAGCAGTTGGCATTGGGCAGTGACGTCCGGGCTCCCATCATTAGAGTGGTCATGGTCAGTACTGTGGTCACTCCTGGCACGCAAGTAAAATACACACAGAGAGACGCTGGTGAAATACGGATTCTTTGCCAAAGTTGGCAATGTGTTTTATGGGGTGTAAGGAGTAAGGTTTATTTTTCATGGTTATGGGTATTCAACGTTATGGGAGATTTGAAAACAAACTTTTTGGTGGTTTTCAAACCAGGGGACAACCACCCAACTAACTAGTCAGTGAATACAATCTGCTGTGTGATTACTGTGTTTTTTTGGTAACAATAGGGGTCAATGGCATAGATGAAGATTTGGATAAACAGGCATTTTTTTCTGGGGAGAAATCTGTGCATAAATGAACGTTCCTGACCATTTTAACGGCCATCACCTCATGTTATCTTTAACAGGTAAACCAGCCATTTCAAAGAGATATGCATTTGATAAATCACTACTTATGCCTTTGTTATTGAAACCTACGAAAAATTTTATAAATGAGACCAAATAAATGCATTTAGTCGGAGTTAACAGGCCATCTCCTTCCTTTCATTAACAAACAGAATGTACGCTAGCCATTTATATTAGATTCAATGTTGCTACATTGTGGCTACAATTATTTAAAAAATACGAACATTCAGCCTCCCTGATGTGGCACAAATATAGTACTGCAGATATAATTAATAAATGAAAGACTATGGAAGAAATTCTGCAAACTTATCTAATGAAAATCTCCCTTGGACCCACCAGTGGGTCCCGACCTAGTCTTTGGGAAGTACTGCTACAGATTAATACGCCCTCATCTGGAGTATCTCATGTATCCAATGTCCTCACATATGAGACAAAAGTTCAGAAGAAACCTGCACCGACTTCGCTGAAATCAAGCCCTTCACATCCGGTGGTCCATGAAGCAGGATATATTGTAGTATTCTTTGTTTCGAGAACTTTGTGCCCCCTGAAGCCCCTGCAGTATAGCGGTGGATTTAATTCAATGCAACATCCATGTTCGGATGTTGCCACTAGATAACGACAGTGTCACAGAGGCTCTATTCAACCATCAGCCCTCGAAAACCAAAACCTAAAGCAACATCTGTGCTCACTAAAGGACAGTATTGAAGTCTCAGTGTCGTAGCGATCATACCGATGACTGATGAAGAAGAGAAATAAGGTACAAAATAAGTACCGAGCACACAGCTCCTACAGTGATGCACAGCATCTGCATACGGTTTGGTGTATTGTAAAAGTGGGTGACGTTTTACCCAGGAAGGCAAAAAGGATGCTTTGTTTCGTACCTATACAGATACGAGCTGGAACGGAGGACAGGGAAATCCAGAAGGAAACCCACGAGAGGACAACAAGCAGGCTGGAGGGGACGTAAGTCTCGAGGATGAAGTACAGAATGCTCCTCCTCAGCTCAAAATGGAAGACCAGCTTCGGGTAATTGCCTTGGAGAAGAGGGACAGAAGTCTGTCAGCGTACGATACTTAATAACAGAAAACGACATTTAACGGCTGCCATTAAAAAATGAGCGTAGCCCTGGGAGTAACTCGTTACCGGTCTCATAAACGGCCTCTGAGACGGACGTGTAGTGGTCCTCCACCGTGTACTGGGCCAGCTGCAGAGTGTCTAAACCGCTGACGGACTCGTTTCCTCGGGTCCAGTAGAACATGACATCGTTGATGTTGTAACCCCCTGTAGGGGAGATGGAAATGACATTTTTATTACAGAAAAAGCTGCACTCATCAATATATATTTTAAATAAAAGAGGCTGAAATAAGTATAAATCAATATGCTTGTAGTAAAGAACCCACAGAGAATTATCACCCAATTCTTTAGTTCCCCTATAAAACAGTCTGCTTTCAACTCACTGGTTTTGGTTTTATGGCAACTTTACTGTTTCGTTTCAGACTTATCACTCTCATTAAGATTAGATTTGAATTTTGAACATTTAAGACAGTATAAGCCTATTATATAGAATATAAGAGAAGACAAGAATACCCATTAAATATAGGCTGTACAACAATCTCTCAAGAACAACATAATTAAGCGTTGAATGTCCGAAAAAGGAGTAGGAAGAAGTGAATACTTACTGTTTGATCAGTAAACGTATTAATCAAACATTATTCAAACTTTCACCAGACACACCTCGATCACGTCAATCAAACCAAATGAAAATGAGGTATTTAAAACAACGACCACCCATTAAATATCCATTCAGTGTGCTATTTTTTTAAAATATCTATTTCCACTTTCTTCCCTACAGTGGTTCCATAAATCAACTCTTTTGACTGTAATACAATTATATTCTACATCAGTCTTCCTAAGCTTGTTTCTTGCTGCAGCAGGCAGCAAGAAAAAAAAAAACTCTGATTAAGCCACTGCACACTCCCTACCAAGCACCAAACAGCAGTCAGACGCCGTTAGCGTCTAGCTGCTGGACATGGTGGAGCTTTTAGTGGCTAAAGAGACAGACACGTCCCGCAGGACTCGACCAGGCCTGCTAAGAAGGACGGTGAATATCCAACCGATCGCTAATGTTGTTCCGTGACAGCTGTTCTCTATAAAAACTTTATGAGTTGATAATGCGTCAGCGTTATACATTAGATGGAACAAATACATTTACTTCTTCCTGGAGCAGTTTCAGTGTTTGTGCAGGTGGAAAACATGACGAGCACGTTAGACATTAGCTTAGAAAGCTGCTATAATTTATAACTATTGTGGTGATGGTGGTGATGATGATGCTGATGATGATGTAGAAACAGCTTTAACAGTTTTTGCTAAACCCCAAAGCAGCAATTGAGGGAACAGCTGTGAATGTTAACGGCTCCAGCTATGCTGAAGTCTGGTCCTCTCATGGCTGAGTTGTTTGGGATTGCAACCCATAGCGGGTGGTAAATTCCCTCTGATGCTTCTCATCCACACGAGAGAAGCATTTTGCATAAAACCAAAGGGGAATGCGGAAACTCCTGAAAATCAAGTTTAAGGGCAGAGATTTTGGGCTATTTTTGCTTCCATAACGTGTAATCTTTCAGACTTGTGGAGAGAAAAGTACACGATCCACATTTAGGTCTTTTTGTTGCTACACTTTGTCAATTTGTGTCCCTGAGCGGTCTCTTTATATATCATTTACAGCCTGATATAAACAACACTTTATTACTAAAAACATGGGGTTTCTTTTTTTATGGCTGTGGAGTATTTTCTGATTCATGGGGTGATAAATATGAGATATCCAAAATCCCCTCTGTAAAAACTTTTGACTCTAATATGTCAACAAAATGAAACAAGAATTTTAAATCTGTCTTTATCCAATGTTCAGATTTCTGTTCTGGAAATGTATGCAAATTAGCACATATTTAATTAGATACTGCCTCGTTTGCATATTTAAAACATACAATTTAATAAAAACTTCTTAATGTAATGGTAATGTTTCATGGGGGTATCTATTGGTTGAATAGTTTAACCCCGTTCACCTTAGTGTCCCCTCTTAAGATGTCATGTTAGCCGTGAGAAGCTAAGAGCTAAAGATAGCTAAAGTCCCCACCGACCGCTAAAGCGCCGCGTGTTAGCCGTTAAAACAACACGACACTTTAAAGACTCTAAAACACGATGTTAATCTTTCATGTATGGAGCCGTACAGTCACAGTGGAAACGGAACGGTCTCCGCTCTAACGCAGCTTGACACACGGAGATCCAACAGGACTTTGCTAATGGAAATGCATTTGCGGCACTCGTGTTCACGTCTTCAAATGGGGGGGGGGGTTGGTAAAGAGTCCTGATGAGGAGCTTAACTCTCGCCATCGTGCCGTAACAGACTAATCATGCACATTGCACACTAGGCCCCTCGAGACCCCCGATAACCCAAATAAATCTCGGGAATGAGACGGCACTATGGTCAGAGATGCGGCAGCTAAAGTGTGGCAGCGCTACATATTGATGGTACAATGTTACTCTATAATAATTATCTATGATTTATATTTGTTGAGGACAGAATAAAGTAAAAAAAGGTGTGATTCACAACCTCTGAGGTGTATTTTTCTCATTTATCTGCAGAGGGAGCAAGAGAATAAGAAACGTAAGCCGGAGCTGGAATAACACACCTCTCTTGTATGTCCAACAGGAAATGCTCATTAACGTTACAGATGTAAACCCTAGTATGGAGTCATGTATTATTGACCGATTGTGAGCTATGGTGCTGGGAGCAAAGTCCCCTAATGAAGGGAAGTGGTGACGTAGCTGCTGAGAGGTCCTGTAGATTCACTGTTTTTCTCCCTCTCTCTCTCTCGTTGTCCTTATTAGAATAACTCATTATTCTCCTGACCTAAAGCCCGGACATTAGTGTACAAATTAGAGACGCAAATGGCTCGTGACTGGCGTGGAATGAGTTACACGACCTTTCCATTCGCCCCTTGAAAACAAGTAGCCATATACATGATCAAAGAGGGGGGAAAAAGTTACATCACAAAGGACAGCGACTATCCTCTGACTTTTTTTGCTGCCGTCAGAATGCACTAAATATTTCACCGCAATCCCGATCTAAACGCACCGCACCCCCCCCCACCACGGCGCTCTCTTTTAAACCATCCTCCAGTGCGGAGGATCCACCTTTGGCACGGCATTAAAAGAAAAAATAAATCCTTCAATATGCATCTTCATAAAGAGACAGAGCAAAGAAGGAAGTAGAGATTGAAAGAGAGAGAGAGACAGAGGGGAGAAAAAAAACAGCAGAGATGGAGCAGCAGGATGAGAGAGAGAGAGAGAGAGAGAGAGAGAGAGAGAGAGAGAGAGAGA